CTGCAGGGCCGTTTTCTGCTCGCTCCTACTATTAGCTGCTGATTTACATGGGGAGCAGCAGCACTGTATCTAGCTCTGAGTTACGACTTCAATTACAGCAGCAGCAGGACACACACACACACATATACACACACGGGTGCTTATGAGAGATGGAGAGACACAACACAGAGAATCTCATTGTGTCGGCAGATAGGGCCGAACAAGGAAACGAGCCCGAGATTGGATTGGGTTTGACAGAAAAATGTGCCGTTGTGAGTGCACGAGAGAGAACGTGAGGATTCGCTCGCGTGAGAAAGAAGAAGACGCGATCGGAGGGAACCTGACCTTGAATGTCTGAAACAGACGTGATTAATCAAAAAACCTTTTTGGGAAATTATTTTCCGTTTCACCACACCCCTCAAAGTCTCTTAATTTATCACACATCACGACCTTGCGCGTTTATGCGCGTGTGTGCAGACAAACGGCCCATGACTGCACGTTGAACATTTGCATATGCAAAGAACACATTTGATGAGGCAGGTGATGTGTTTCAGAAATGGATGCAGCAGCCCCGTACACAGAGTTCTGCCTCAGGTGAGCTTGTGGCAATCCCAAACTACATCCATCGCAGGCCAACAAAAAAAAGGGAAAAAAGAAAGGGGCACAAAAAAGATTTAGAACCCTGTCACCAGCAATGACACTGTGGTAAAGCCTCTATTGTGCAAAAAACAAGCAGAGCTTCCATATCCTTATTATACAGGAAATACTAACAATGGTGAAGAAGCTATCTGAAGAATTATGAGGAGGAGGGAAGAAGGGAATTATAAAATACTGAAAATCACAAGACTGAGGCAGAAGCTGGGGGCGTTTGCAGGGAAACATGCAGCTAAGTGAGAGTAAAGGGGAAAGAAGACATTAGATACTTATGGGAAGAGTGAGAACACAATATAGAAAGAAAAGGAAGACATGAGGGTGACAGGCCAGGCCCTAAGACAGACAGCTCCCATCTATTCCCTGATACGCAGCAATCTCCAGTAACTGCAGTGAAGGCAGCATTATCAATAAAAGGCTGGGAGGCAACTACTTCAGTGGCATGAAAGGAGGGCGCATGCAGCATCTCCAACTGCTGGCCCACAAGGCGGGACATAACGGTATGAGGCATATATTCTCTAACTCAAAGCGCAACCACAAGGGAGCAAAACAAGAGAGGAGGCTAGGAACAAACAAAAATAAAAAAGGAATCCATTCCTGCACTGCGATGTTTGATCATGTGAGCGAAAGGTAGCCAGGGAAACGCATGTGTGGGAGATTAGATGAGGAGAAACTCTAAGTGGGACACCCCACCCCATCATCACCATCATCATTCTAACTCAGCCAATAACCAGCCGGCCTTAATATCCCGCTCCTCATACCAGACACGCACGCACGCGCGCGCACAAAAGTGCACACGCACACACTACAGTGATGAGAAAAATGTATTGATCTCCCCAAATTATCATTAATCTAAATTCTCGTTCCATTAGGGAAGATTCAGCATAATTAGTTTTGTGTTTTCTGCGTACGAGTGTGTGTGTGTGTGTGTGTGTGTGTGTGTAGTCTGTGTTATGAGTAGATGATATTAGATTGTGTTAGAGAGACTGAGGCTTCCCTGGTGTTCTGCCATGCTGAACATGTGTTTGCCATTATTGCGTTTCAGAAAGATACAAAGAGAAAACTCAATCAGGTGAAATCTAATATCACTACCACTGTACGTGAAGCTGTATAGCCACGGCGTGTTTATGTTATTTCCGTTTGTTGGCGACTATACTCTGCTGTGGGATCTAATACGGAATCATGTTCCATCATAAGATAATTACACTTTTGCTCAGGGAGACAACCCCCCTCCAAATGTGTGTACACACGCACACATGCACACTGTGCTCTTGTATAGGATGATGATGGTTATGCTCCTATGTGAGCGATGGTTTTCTCCATGTAGGCTATGGTGGATAATTCAAGCCAAACTGCTGCACAGAGTTGCCTCTCACAATGAATATAATAACTGCATGTGTGTGCAGATATGGTGGTGAACTTGTCTGATATGACCCATGGGACAGGCATGGTACTGTTAATGAAATCTGGAAAATGTAGGTTTGGACTAGGCTACAGATACCCCACTAGTTT